GAACATTGAACTTCAATAATTTTAACAATTTAAATAAAATAGACAGTTTCTTGAAAAACCCAACTTACCCAACTGACAGAAAAAGTAGAAAAATATGAATCATTCTATCTCTAATACAGAAATTAAATATTTACTTTAAAAAACTCTCACACAGTAAATGCCAAGCACAAAGAGATTTACTGGTAAACTTTTCCAAGTATTCAAAGAAGAAATATACTACTATTACACAAACTTCTCCAGAGAACAGGAAACAACACTTCCCAACTTGTTTTATAAGGCCAGCATAACTTGTCATAACCTAAGAATGACATTACAAGAAAAAAACAATTACAGACTAATCTCATACACACACACATACTTGCAATAATAAAAAATGGAGTAAGAACAAATCAAATCAAGTGATATATATAAAGGTGTATTTCAAGAAATACATTTTTAAAGCATCCAAATGTTTTAACATTCGAAAATCAACCAACATAGTATACTACTTTAAAGAAAAAAGGGGAGAAATATACCATAGAATCATCTACATAAACTCAGAAAAAGCTTTTGATAAAATTCAATACTGATTCAGGATAAAAACAGTGGCATTAGAAATAGCAGAAAACTTTTCTATTCTGATAAAAAGGATCTTTTAGAAAAACTCTCAGTAAATACCATAATTAATGATCAAATATTGAATGTTTTTCCCTAAAGTTGAGAATGAGACAAAAGATGCCCACTACCTTCACTTTTATTCATTATTCTGGAGGTCCTAGCTAGTGCAATGAAACAAGATAATGTAATAAAGGATTTCAAAAAGAGTAAATCACTGTTCACAGACAACACAACTGTTTACATAGGAAATCCAAAATAATGTACATTTAAACTATTAGAAATAAGTAAATTTTGAAAGTGAATTTTGCAAGATTGCTAGACACAAAGTCAACATTAAAAAAATAAACTATGCTTTTATATACTTAGCAACAAGCATATAGAAAAATGAAATCTGGGGAAAAACATAATGACACTAAAAAAAATCCAATACCTAACAATAAACAAAATAAGAAATGTTAAGATCTGTACATTGAAAACCATCAAACATTATGGAAAGAATTAACGAAAACCAAATGTAAGGTAACCATATCTATTTATGGATTACAAGACCTAATACTGTAAAGATTTCAGTTCTCCCTAAATCAATCCATACATCTGAATTCTAGTAAGTTCATTTTGTTTGCTTTCTTAGTGAATATTGACACTTGGTTTCATTTGGAAAGAAAAATGACAAGAACTACCACTCAGTCATGCAGAATATCATGGTAGAGAATTTCTACTACCAAATATTAAACTACAGTAATTAAAATAGTACAGAACTGAGCAAGGATATAAAATACACAAATGGAACAAAACAGAGTTCAGAAACAGCCCCACATGTGTATGATTCCTTGATTCACAGCAAAGGCAACCCCTGTCATGCAATGGAGGAAGGATGGTTCTTAAAAAAAAATTGTACTGGGTGAACTGAGTATTTATCAGGAAAACAAATCTTAACCCCAGCACCTCAAACCATACACAAAACTAAATTCAAAATGGATAACAGATCTAAAACATGAAAGGTAAAAAACAGAAGAAAACATAAAAACAATCTTTACGGACTTATGATAGGTAAATATTTCTTCAACACAACACAAAGAGCATTAGCCATAAAGGAAAAAAAAGAAGAGAAACTGGACAACATTAAAAAAAAAAAAAAAGGATTGAAAAAGTGAAAAGGCAAGCCATGATATGAGGGAAGTTATTTGAAATGCACATAATGAACAAAACACTCAGAATATATTATATACAGAATGTATACTAATAATTACTAAGAAAAAAGCAGTCAGGGAGACTGCCTAAGAAAAGGTAGTCAGGTACGACTTTAACAGGTAAGTCATAAAATAAGTCATATCTAAAGGGCCAAGAAAAATATGAAAAGGTGATCAACTTCATCAAACATCACAGAAACTTAAAATTAAAATGTTACTTTTGCTCACCCACCAGAACAGCTAAAATGAAAGGGATAAAAACTAGTAATGGTGAATATTTAGAGCAGCTGAGCAGCTGGAACTTTCACACACTGTTAGCAGAGCATAAATTATAAATCAGTACAACCACTTTAGAAAACTATTGCTATTAAAGCTATCACAGGTATACTCTCTGACTTAGCAACTGTACCCCTTGGTATATACCCAAGCATTCATAGGTACCAAAGACACACATAGGAGTATTCAAAATTGCACTCTTTATAATAGTCTCAAAGTAGAAAACAACCAAAAATTCTATTTACAGTAGAAAAAATAAGTATACACATTGTGTTCCATCCACCCAGTGGAATATCATACATCAATGAAAACATATATGAATATGTAGATATATAAAATACATCTACATATATACCCACATGCAACACTAACATTAATTTCACAAACATAATGTTGCCCAAAGGAACACATGCTGTTCACATAAATTCAAAAACAGGGGTAATTAATCTATGTATTAGAAAGTTCAGTTAATGACTTTCCTTCCCTGGGGCAGGGAGATAATGCCTGGGAGACAAGACAGAGAGTTTCTGGGGTGGTGCACTGGGATATGCTGGTTACGTGGCCATGTACTTTTTGCAATAACTCTCTTAGCCACCCTTAGGATTTGTGCGCTTTTCTTTATGTTATACTTTAATACAAAATTTACTTTTTAAATAGAAACACATTACACCAAGAAGGACAAACACAAGGTTTCACCAGAAGCTCCCAAATGGAAGTCAAGTGAAAGCTTCCAAGTAGAAGTGAAGTGAGGTGAAGCAGCTCTTAAATGCATGGTAGTGTCAACCCCAAGAGTTTTAACTCACTGTTCTGACTTGAAGTGTGATTTTTATCTTAGTAGCTCCAAAAATCCAATCATTAAAAACTCTATTCACTATTACCTCCTTCAGTACTGCTCGCTAAACAACCCCAGAGGTTGGTAGTTCCTTCCATAAACCCTCCCATCACCTAAGCGTAGCCTCTATCTGCCACATAGTTAAATTTCTTCTGTAGGCTATATATTTTTAATGAGTCTCCAGTGCTTAACAGTCTCTCTCTGATATAGTAAATATTCAAATTTGGATGAATAAATGACACATACTCTCTTCAGCACAGAAACCTTTTCCCCCCATCTTAATGCAAGAATAATGAAACTTTTGACTCAAAATCCACAAATTCAAAATGACAAATTATGTCTGAGCCTAATCAAACCTGAAAACCAAATTGTCCAACTACCTCCACAGTATGTTTTCTGCATTCTTTGCCAAAATCACCTGAGAAGAAATTCAGACACCCTTACCCTTGCCCCATCTGGCAGCTTAGTAAGAAAATGACTTAGGTAAACTCAACATATTAACAGGCTAATTCTAGTTGCTGAGTATAGTGGCAAGCTCCATCTTTTAATAACACCATTTCCTTAACTTAAAAAGCTCCATTACACAGTCACTTACATATTCCTAGCTCCTTTTTCTCTCTAAACATGGGGGGTCTTTTCCACTGGTAGATCCAGTGTATCTATGCTGAACTTAAACATGACTCTCTGTGGGGTAATGAGAGTTCAGGGAATGTTACGTGCTTTGCCAGTTCTCCGCTTTTATGTTATTCCCCGAATAAACCCTATTTTACATTTATATTCCATGTGTTCATGAAGCAGGTCTCCCATGTTCTTTCTATGTGACATAGTCCTCAGATTTATGAAGGGACATTTACTTGCAACCTTGCTTAGAATCATGATGGAATAGTTATTTTATTACTCTCCCCTGTTTTATCAACCTTCATAAAGAATCATACTGTGTGAGCCTTACATTTTAGCTGAAGAATTTTCATGAGATGAAACAGGAGTTCTCTTCATTTAGGTCCAGTGACAACTCTAATCACTTCCACTAACTTCTCTATCAGCTATTCAGCTGAGTTTTGTCTCCAATTATATCCATATTACCAGATGAATTACTACTCAGACTCTGCAGATTTTATCTTTAGTGCTGCTGTTCTGTTCCTGGTAAGCTTTCAGACACCAGCTTTTCTGGAAACTTCTCCTGAGAGGCAAACTTTCCAGAGCAGAATCTCCCCCTCCTGCATATGCTGTGACTACTAGATTATTTACAATATTCTATGAAACTATTTTTCCTTCTTTCCTTTAAACCAGGAGCATGGCAAACTTCTTCTTAAAAGGCCAGGGAGTAAAGATTTTAGGCCTATGGGCAACTACTCAATTATGCTGTTACAATGTGAAATCAGGCATAGACAATATGTAAACAAATGCACATGGCAGTTTTCTAACAATGATTTGTTTGTAAAAACAGCCAGCCTGCCCATGAACCACAGTTTGCCAATCCCTGCTCTAAACTCTTACAACTTCCTATATCAGTATTATAATTATCTTGAATTTGGAAGGGTTTATTGACATTGGTGCTAAAAATTAAGTTCAATATATTTTATCAATTAAAACTGAGATCAATATAATAACTTTTCTGGGAATATTTGTGATAATATGAGTTATAAAAAAACTCTCATTATTTGTTGGTTAACCCGAAAATTTAAGTGACTAAAGCACATTCACTGATAACCATAGTTAACTTAGGTATTCCCTAATTATGAAAATAGAGATGATAATTTACAATAATAATTCACCTATTAAAAACTAACAAACATAATCAAATGAACAAAAGACTAAGTATATTACAATAAATCTACACAATGGACAGTAATGGTGGGACTACAGTGATCTTCTCTTCTTTTCCCCTATGTTTTCTATAATCAACATCTATGATTTCTGTAATAAGAAAAAGTTTCTTTAAAGCACATGATGACAAGCTAAAAGTGTTCAAATTTTTTATTTAGTTTGAAAACAAAAACAGACTTGGAATTAAATTTTAAGAAAAATTCAACCATTCTATCCTATGCTCCTCTTTAAAAAAATATATTTACATCAAAAATAAATAAGTTAAAATTTTCATTTACCTGTCGGTTCCTTTCATCCATTATGCGTGTGATTTGAATTTTCTTCCGCCCCATTTTCAGTCACCTTTCCTTCCTTATATTCCAAATATTTAATTCAAAATGTATTTTCTTCAATACCCTAATGCATCGTACACAGCTTCTATTATTTCAGCTTCTAGTCCAAGGGCTACAGCTGAAATTTTCTATAAGATCTAAAAGAAAACACAAATTAGAAAATTAAGTTCTGTAAGTTTGTAAATCATGAAAATGTTATACAAATTTCAAACTTACCTCTATACCGCACATAGGCACATATTAGTTGAAATTCCTGGTTACATAAAATTGGTAGTTAAGTTGAAGCTTTGTTAACTTTACCCCTAAAAAATCTCTTGAATCTTTTTGTGCCTCTAGTTCTGGCTGAAAGAGTGCAATTATAAGCTTTGAGTTTTTCTCAATGCATACAGTAAAAGCAACAAGAGCCAATACTTACTGGGATTTTTCTATGTGCCAAGAATTTTTCCATGTACCTGATATATCTTAACTCATTCAATCCAAACTGCAATCTTTTTGGTTATAATTATCATCACCATTTTATAAATAAGGATACTGAGGCAGAGAGATCCTAAATAATATGTCCAAGGTAACACACACAATAAAGGGCAGGGCTTGGAATACGAACTCAGGGACTCTGGCTCCAGAATTTCTCTGCTTTAATATTACAGAATATCCTTGGAAAGTTTCTGATGTCCTCCATGTCAAAGGATGAACTAATAATCTGGGTAGCCCCAATCTGCCCTTACAAACGATTCTTGCAAACTGCCCTAGCTACCACCAAAATTACTGTCAATCCATAAAGGCACCATATGATTTCATAATAATGTCCACTTATTAAATGAAATACTGTTTCTTTTAGCCATTTAATAAAATCCTCCTAATTAATCAAAATTCAGTTCCCCCTGATAGAGTAAACCACAGCACCTTATACTCTGTGGCTATTTGTATAATAAATTCTAAGTTCGTATTCCTGAGACCACGAATCCTTCAAGAACAGGATTTTTTTTAATTCCATTTATCTCTGTAATTCAATGACTGGCAATGATATAATTAGTCATGTTCCGAATGACAGTTGTGTCAAAGACCTAGTGTTTTCAAAACTTACATAATAAAATATTTACAAGGGAATAAAAGACAAATACTAAAATACTCACAATAATAAATTCTCAGGGGAATTTTATTCAAGTATTTTTAATATTGTGCATATACAGCCATAAAACTTTAAAAGTACTGTGCAAATCCATGATTAAATCTGGCTTTTGTTCAAAAGCAGTGAATTTTTCAATTCTTAACACTACCATCATTACTATAAGCATGGCATGTCTTATGTATCTTCCCTCATATTCTTTCATTTCTTCATTCATACAAACATTAACTGAACATCTATTAACAATTGATAACCTATTAACTGATCACCAACTTGCAAAAAAAAATTGTACTTCCAAACACTGAAGTAGGCACATAGGGTAAAATATTTAAAAAAAAAAAAAAAAAAAAAGGCATGATTTCTGATCTCACTGAGTTCATAGTTTAGAGGGGAAAACAGACATTAATCAAACTACCATATAAATGAGTCTGTAGAAATTAAAATTAGGATGTTAGTTTATCTGACCTAAATTCCTAAGTTAGGTAAGGCTTCCTTTGGAATGTGCCTCAAACCTGAGTATGAAGGTGTACATTCTAAGCAGAGAGAATACCATGTGCATGGAAGAAGGAAACATTAGAAAAACTGAAGGATGGCTAGTCAACTGGTGGGAACCAAACAAACAACTGTGCTGTAGAATGTTTTTGTTTTCTCATGAGACTGCAATATAAACCAATAAAAGTCAGTTTATTCAAATCATGTTCCCTAACAGATCACACTGCATTCAACTCCCATTATAAAAATTGGAACTGTAGTAGCCAAGATAAATATTCATGCATTTCAATTCTAATACCTTTAATGCCTAAAAGGTGTATGTACTGTACTCTCTTTTAGAATCTGGAAAATTCCGGGGGCGCCTGAGTGGCTCAGTGGGTTCAAGCCTCTACCTTCAGCTCAGGTCATGATCCCAGGGTCCTGGGATCAAGCCCCGCATCGCGCTCTCTGCTCGGCGGGGAGCCTGCTTCCTCCTCTCTCTCTGCCTGCCTCTCTGCCTACTTGTGATCTCTGAGTGTCAAATAAATAAATAAAATCTTAAAAAAAAAATTTAGAATCTGAAAAATTCTGAATTCTATTAGACCATATCTAAGCATTTTGCTTTTGACAATAGTTGAATAGGTTACTTCAACCTTCTCTCTTAAGATTTATTTATTTCAGAGGGAGTGTGAGAGAACATAAGCAAGCATAAGTGGTGGGGGGTGAGGGGACAGAGGTAGAAAATCTTCAAGCAGACTCTGAACTGAGCACGAAGCCTGACAGAGTGCTCAATCCCACAACCAATGAGATCACAACCTGAGCCAAAAATAAGTCAGATGCTTAACTGACTAAGTTACTGAGGAGCCCCAAACCAACCTTTTAATAATGAGAAAAGAACAAGAAAAGTAATCTGTTCAAAACCATTGGAGAACTTCCAAGACAGAATTGAAGGGCTGAGATCTGGAAGAAACGGGTGAGATCACACTTCAGATTAATTCTCCCCCTAGTCTTAAGTAGATTTTTAAAATATTGCCTGAGCCCCATGTCAGGTTCCCTGCTCAGCAGGGAGTCTGCTTCTCCCTCTTCCTCTCCATGTACCCCTCTACCCACTCGTGCTCTCTCTCTGTTTCTCAAATAAATAAGATTGTGTGTGTGTGTGTTTATTTATTTTTAGACCCAAAAAACATTGGCTGAGAGGCTGAGAAGCTAAAAAGACCTTTCAACAGATCTATGGGTAGGACACGGAAATAGATGCAGGGTCTGCCAAGGACTAGCCCAGCCCCAGTAAACGTACCAGGAATAGGGAGGGAATCCAAAAGACTATACCCTAGGTATAAAGGTAAACTAGAAATAGACGAGGCCAACAAGGAGAAAAGTATAGCTTCATATTATCTCAATCCCTGATTAGGTTAAGGAACCTGGGCTACCCAGTGTCATTAGCCTAGCTGCAGGCCAATAAAAACTTCTGTAAAGATTTTAGCAAAAGTAAACCTTACCAGCAAAAGTTAACATCATCTTATCAATAATGATCTTATCATTATACAAAATGCCTAAAAATAAAAAATAACCAGTCAAGACCTGACTGAAAACTAAGATTTTAAAATGGCAAGAAATCAGACCTATAGTACATCCAAGTAATGGTGTTATCAGAAAAGAACTTTAAAATAAGTTAATATGTTCAAAGAATTAATAAACAAAGACTATTAGCAGACAATGCTAAAAGTATGGAAAATAACTGAAAAATACAATTCTGAAAACAGAAAATTAAAAAAAAATCAATGATGGGTTTCATAATAGGTTAGAATACAGCTGAAGAATCAATGATCCAGAAGCTAAGAAAGAGGAAAATACTTATACTGATGCCCAAGAAGACAGAAATTGGGAAATACAGAAAAGAGTGTGAAAAAATTATGACACATGGATCCAAAATACATGTAACTGCAGTCCTTAAAAGAAAAGAGAGAAATGTTTAAAATAGTTGAAAACTTTTTAAAAACTTACCAGCGACATCATGCCACAGAACCAAGATCTACAAACTCCCAAGCAAAACAAATACAAAGAAAACCACAACCTAAAGCATATCAAAGTAAAAAGGGCGGATGGAGGGAAAGAGAGACACACACACAAAGAGACACAGCCACAGATAGAGATCTTAAAAGTAGTCAAAAAAGGAAAGATTTACAGTTGACTTTTTCACAGAAGTAATGGAAGTCAGAAGACAATGAAATGAGATCCTCAAAGTGCCAAGAGTGGGAGAAATGCCAAACTAGAATAGCATATCTGGCAAATAATACTCTTGAAGGGGTGGGGTGGGGAAGGCAAAACACAGACATCTGTAGTCAAATAGAAACAAAGAATTTAACACCAAAAACACTGAAGGGACTTCTTCAAGTAGAAAGAAAAAAGGATACCAGACACAGCTTCGATATTGCACCAAAAAGTATGTACATAAACAAACAAATAAGAATAAGGAACAGGGTAAATATGTAACTCTAAGTGAATACTGACTAAAGAAGATAATAACACACTGTATAATTTAAAATATTAATAATGCACAACAACAGTACAGTACCGTAGTAAATAAAGTTAAAGTGTTCTAAAACCCTTTCATTTAATGGGAAATAGAAAAAGTCCTTTTTTACTTTTTGGACTTGAGTCAAAGACGCATGTAAGAATAGTAAAAGTACAGAAAGCTAACAAGCTAATGGAAGGGGAAAATGAATTATTACCTGAATTGTATTAAAAAAAGATCTGATGACTACAGAAGTACATCTTAAATATGAGAAAGAATGAAAGTAAAAGCATGGAGAACATACAGTGTAGAACACAAATCAAAAAAAAAAAAAGATCTGTAGCTATACTTTATCACAATACATTTTTAAATTTTTTTGAATATTTTATTTATTTATTTGACAGAGAGAGAGAAACACAGCGAGAGAGGGACACAAGCAGGGGGAGTGGGAGAGGGAGAAGCATGCTTCCCACGAAGCAGCGAGCCCAATGTAGGACTCAATCCCAGGACACAGTAAAAGCTCAATTCACTGGAAAGAGCTAGCAATTCTAAATCTGAATATACCTAATAACACTTAAAGTCAGGAGTCTGTTGCTTAAAATCAGATATCCTGTACAAAATCCTAACTAGGGCCTTATTTTCCATTTTTTTAAATAGGAAAAATTATGTTACATATAAACTCATAATCCCCAATCATTTCTCTTTTAATACTTAACTGAAATACAGAAAATGTCCATTTATAATAGAAAATTATCATGGTTAAGATGTAAAATACTACATGACTTCAAACGCAATAGTTTTCTCACTGGCTTTATTTCCTTCTCCATGATTTAACACGTTCTGTGTTAAACACTTTTTGTGCTTTCTACAAAACTAAGCAAAATTAAGGGCCAAATACAAAAGCAATTAGAAACTTATGCAAGACAAACACATATGGCAGATAACAGCTCAAAGGCTTATAATATGGAAACCTCTTTCTTACTGCCAGTAGCAACAGAGACGCACATTCCCTCTGTTGACAGAACATG